TTTATATGTTTTTAAAAATTATTTCTTCTGTATTTATTTACTTATGGTGCAAGAGATTAAACCTGGGTCTTAACGTGTTAGGCAAGTGTGGTACTATTGAGCTATACCCCTTACTAGGTTGTTTTTAAATGAACAAGTCTTTGATATTCATTATCAGGTAATAAATGTGATTCTTTTCAAGGCCTTTGTGTCCCTCAGATCCTGAAAAGTTGGCTGAATGCTTGTCTGTTCCCTGTTTTCAAGTGAGCTTTCCCAAGACATGATATAATCTGTTCTTGTATTGAGATCTAACAATTAAGATACTAAACTCTTTCCCAGAAAAATATTTCAAGTGATATTTCTGGTGAATGTTAAGATTTTAAGCCGAATGTGGTGGCATATGCCTGTAATCCCAGCACTCAGGAAACTGAGGAAGGAGGATTGCTCCAAGTTCAAGACCAGCCTGGCCTACAAAGTGAGCTCAAGGCCAGTCTGAATGGCATCCTGAGACCCTGTCTCAAAAAGACAAAAAAAAAAAAAAAAAAAAAAGATTTTGAATGTCTTTAATGATATTATATAATTTATTGTTTATAAAACTTCATATATTTTCCTTTTGATATAATATTGCTTACTTTCATAATAGATGTTTTTGTGGTATCATATTTTCATATAATGAACATATTATTTGTTTCATATTCATTTTTAAATTTTAAAATGAAAAGCCAGATTGTCACTTAATATAGATGTTCTCATGTTATGCTTCTCTTCTGTTAATCAAAGAAGCAAAACGGAAGTTTGAAGAATAAATTCTGTTGATGACTTCACATATCTTTAGAAACTGAAAGTAAAGATAGACACTGTGAGAACAACCAATGCTAATTTTTACAGTTTTCTATGGTAACACTTACATAACTTGACCTTAGTGTGGTCCCAGAAAGTCTAGGAACAATGTTGATACGGAGACAAAGGTGAGGAGTTTATTGCTGCAACAGCAGGAAGTGCTTATCATTTCAGCTGACCTGCATTTTATCTTTGTTAGGTCTTTTTTTGAACTTTCATGGAAGTTCAATTGTACAAGGCCAATTGTACAATACTGTGTGTATTTTTTAAATCTTCAGCTATTTTCTATTTGATTGATCTTTTTTTCTCTCAGGGTTTTAGCTTGTAGATTAAGTATGATGTCATTTAGCATATAGCAATCAAAGGAGTAATACACACTTTGATATGGATCTTTATGCTTTGGCAGTTTTTATTTGTTTTTGCAAGTTTCATAGTTTTTATCCTTTTAAATCTTCTTTGAAAAGAGCCTTCTTGGAGTTTGGTTAGAAAAGTCTCATGCTAGAATAAAAAAGCAGGATATACATTTATTAATTGCTAGTAATTTTTTTTACTTGTAGTAATCTGTGTTATTTTAAATAAAATAGCCTTTCCTTTTTAAATATGAGTAAAATAAAATTAATTTTGTAACAAAATTGATTTTACCTAATTATATCATACATCTTACTTTTGGTGACCTGGTTTAAGGACAAGAAGGATGTTTGGTTGCTTGTTAAAATTTATTTGGATTTCTTACCTAAAATTTTTCTTTAATCTTTTTTGCCTTTTCTAAAATGCAGTAATCACTGGGTGTGGTGGCACACGTCTGTAATCCCAGCACACAAGAGGCTGAGGCAGGAGGATCACCATGAGTTCAAGGCCAAACTGGGCTACATAGTGAGTTCAAGACAGCCTGAGCTACATAGTGAGACTCTGCCTCAAAAGAACAAAACAAAGAAAACGAAAAACCCAAAAATCAAAAAAATACCCCAATAAATAAATAAATAAATTTTAAAAATACAGTCATCAAAGTGTTCAAGTTCCCTCCACCTATACTATCAGTTAGGTTTTCTGAGTTCCGTATTGTCTTTTACTGACCAAAATGTAACTTTCCTTTACAGGATTCTAATACAGTCATGGAAACATTCCCGACAATCGGTCGACTGTTAGCAAAAACCTGTTCAAATCCTTTTGTATTAGCATATGGTAAGAATCCAAGACATGTCCTCTCAAAATACACACACACACACACAGAGATCTATAGGAAAATAGGGCTTCTTATATTAGAGGGTGGAAACTCCCAGATTATTTATATAATTTTTCTCAGCAGTCACTTTTTTCACCTCATTTTTAGCTCTTTATAAAATGACTATACTAATGATTCCAAGCTAATTTGTTTCACAGTGTCATATTAACTCACATACTATTTCCCATGTTGTAAAATCATTCTTCAGTGTCTTAATTCTCTTGTGGGTTTGCCATTATGAAGGGGTGACATTCTGGTTTTATCTAAGGTTGAAAGAATTTGGGGATACTTTGGAGAGATATTTCTTCACTGACTTTCTCTGCCTAGTTGCCCAGCTTCATTTCCTGTTTTTTCTTTTCTCCCCTGTAACCACACCACATGCATTGCAATTGGAACCTGTTACTGACAGTGCCTGTAGGCACTTGCTGTCAGAGCCAGGACTCCTGAGATCCATTCCTTTTCCCTCTGTTCTTTTTGTAACCTAATGTCTTCCAAGGGCTGAGTTGGGGAGCTCTCCTAGTATCTCCACAGCCTCCAGAATGTCCTTTATTACAATACAGTACTTGATCCACCATCTGATGCCCAGAAAGACAGAAGCCTGTAGAGCGCAGGAGAGCAGGAGCCATGGCTTTTGTTTCCTGCCATCCTGGGCCCTGGCACAGGGTGGCACAGGCACTCATGGGGGAGCACAGTTGAAGTGTGAGGCCTTGGACTGACTGTATCACTAGCTAAGGTAACATTTACTTTCTGAATTTTTTAAAGTCAAAGATTACTTGTATAATTACTGACATTGGAACCAAAGTTAAATGAATATTCCCTTCGGTTTTTTGAAAGAGTTGTGAAATTTCCCTTTCCTAGTCTGCCATAAGAGCCCAGAACTAGGCTGGAAAGGGAAAACGCTCCCCTTTGGGCCTGTGAAGACACACGCCGGGGTGCACTGCACGGTCATGCTCACTCACTCCTCCCCTCCTTTATCTGTGTCTGCTCCCTTATTCTTCCCCTTCCCCTCATCTTGTTCAAGGTCCTGATCTAAAAATGGCAGAATGAGTGTTGCCCACCAGGGCCACACTTACCTGTCCTAAGTTTATATATCACAGCTAAGCCAGTGTTTTTTAAAATCTTTGCCCAAAAATACATGTGCATGTGTGGATGTTTATTCGTACACATGGATATATATACACGTACACATATGCACTCACATGATTAAACACATTTCATGAATGCTTATTTTTACATATAACCCATATTTACTCTGCTATTTGAAAAACTCATGTTCATGACCCAAATCTGGTTTCATACCTCTGATACATTATGATCAAAAGTTTGTTAAAACATAGAGCTCGGTTGATATGTTTGTTCAGAGATATTTGTTATTGGCAAAGCATAAGTGTGTAGTTGCTGATGGGAGGAAGTGAAATGGATTTAGAAATTACTGTGTGCTTTGCTTAGTGGGTGGGAGCACAGTGGTGGCTTACTATAGTTTGTATCGCCCTCGTTGTTAAGAAAGCCTTTGGAAACACTGTTGATTAGATTGTAGAAAGAGGCAGGTGGGCTGTCAGGTGAGTGTACTGAGCCTCGCTCCAGGTGCTGGTGGGGGCTGAGCATCACTCAGTGGCTTTGTTGTGACATCCAAAGCTGCTTTGTTCCAGGTCAGGTACTGACATCATCAGTTTTGAGACCTCAGTTTTGTTCTTACTTACATTACAAAATTTCCTCCTGGAGTGGGTTCAGTCATCACAAACAGGAAAGGAAAGTGGCTCATCAAGTAGCTTTCCCACCACATGTTCAGCATTTTCATCGTGGATTTGGTTAAGTTTTAAATTTTAGAGTAAAGAATTATAAGCATGTAAAAGGCCTCTAGTTTATAGAACTCATTTGGTACTAAGCACAATTATGTTTTAAGACAATCCTTTTTGTTAAATTTGTTTTTAACAAGCAAGGATATTTAGGAAACATAGAAAATTGAAAGATTAAATTGAAATTATTGACTACTGACATGCCTGTAGCAGTTATATTGCCTTAAAAAGGTTGAAATTACTAATGGTTTGAAATGTGAAATAAAAAACTGATCTTGAGAAAACCCAGTTCTTTCATTTCTTTCCATCATTCTCGTTTGGCTTTAAAACTGCTGCTGTTACAAAAAAGGACTTGGCCACACTAGGGCAGAGCGTAAGTGATCCTGAACCCACAAGAAGAAAAAACCCACGAAGTTAAGTTTCACGCATGGTCCTGGATGCTTGTTCTGTGAGCTTAGTAGTTTAAGATTTTTTTCTTAAATATGTTTTAGAAGTTTTTATGCAGAGTATCTGCTTTTTTTTTCTATTTGATAAAACCTACACATTTTAGTTTTTGTTTTACAGATGAAAGCCAAAAGTTTCTGATATGGTGCTTATGTTGCCTGATAAACAAAGAACCACAGAATTCTGGAGACTCAAAATTTAACTCCTGGATACGGGTAAGAGAGTAGATCTTGCTCTACCCTGCTTTCAATTAAATTGATTAAAGTTACTGCCCTTTCTTTTCTTTTCTTTTTTTGGTTTTATGCTGAAAAACTTTTTCAAGCATACTCTCTCTGTTAACGTTATCTTGCTGAGTGTAAAGTTATCCAAGAAATTGCAGTTCTGTGTAAGTATGAATTCCAAATGATACCGGTCCTCAGTGTGAACTTTGCCATGCTGACAAGACCTAATGTTAAGCAGGACTTTTTTGGTACCAGGAATCAAACTCTGGACCTCCTGCTTGCCAAGCAAGCACGATTCTGCTGAACTATATTCCCAGCCAAAGGCCACTTTCTGATTATTAAAAGTATGTACTCCATTTCTTTCCAGTAATTGCTATACCTGAGTAACAGTCTCTCTCTACCAGCCTTGTTAAAATCCTTATATAATTCCCCTCCAAGTATTCTCTGCCTCTCAGAGTCTATTCTGTACTGAGTCTGAAGTTCAGAAGTACCCAGAGAGTAGCAGTCTTCCTTTTGTGTCCTGAAATTGGTACTTGTGCCCATCTGCTCACAGATGAGTACCTGGTGCCGCTTGACCACTGCTGCTCACACTCTAATCCTTGTCTGTGGCACAAGTCTGTAGCTGACAGCTGCCTGCATGCCCCCATCTGTTTCTGCTTCCTCTGGAAGGCAGGGTGACGTGGAGAATGCAGTAAGGCTGGGGGCAGCACCTGCCTGCCTCCGGCACGCTGGCTAGTCTTTTCCTTTATCCCACAGACCTGCGGCCACCACTCACGGCTTGCTGATAGAAGGTTGAGAGTGGGCAGTACATGGAAATCTAGTAAGGGAAGCCCACAGCAAACCTTGAGTGGTGGCAGCAGGACAGGGGGGCAGGAGAAAAGAGCAGCCAGCACACTGGAGGCAGGCTCCACTTAGTATGCACGCGGTTCTGATTAGCTGCTTAGAATTACGCCAGTCACCCAGCCCCTGTTCACTGTTGTGTCTGTCAGTCTGACTAGTGGTATCGTTGCATTCACTGCATTTTATGACTCCTTTTATAAAATCAAAATTGCTAACAGAGATCATGAGCATATATTTATATTTTTCCATTAGATTGAAAGAATAGAAGGGACACAAAAAGTAGAAAGGATTGAGCAATGGAAAGAAAGAACATAAAATTTAATTTGAAGGAAAATTAATGTATAAAGGGCTGAAGAAAGGAATTGACAAGCAGAATTAGAGAAAAAGGAGTATGTGTAAACAAGACTGTAGAAATAGAATAACAAACTTATCTTTTTAATTGTTGCTTTTATTCAGTATTTAATATTTAAGGACTATTTGGAATATAATTTTGTATCAGCTAGTTCATTAAGTCCTCAAAAGTTCATCTAATTAAGTATTGTTTGAATGATTTGGTTAATTTTCTTCATTTAGCTCCTGACTTTATTAACCTATTTTAAAATTTCTAGCCTTATATTTTATTCTGTGATTTTATTTTTAATATTGTGTTTACTTATTAATAGATACTTAAAAATAGTGCAAAGAGGTAAAATTTAAAAACCTAACTCCTCCTTCTTGGGAATTTCAGACTAGTAACCAGATCACATGAGGGCAGTGTGGCTGGGTTGCTGGGAGAACTGGTGTGTGATAGTGACACAGAGGGACACTTGCTCAGACATGGGGTTTGGACATAATTTCCTGGGGAAGTGACATACTAGCTGAGTTCTGAGGACTGGCTAAGAGAGAGAGAACAGAGTTAGGGAGAATATTCCTATCAGGAGAGAGAGAGGGAGGGGAGAGAGAGAGAATACAAAGCAGGATGGTAAGAAAGCAAACACTGTACTCAGGAAACTGCAGATGCTTGGAGATGTCTAAGCTGGAGGCTTTGCGGAGTTGGGAATGAAGCATGACGCCAGAGAATCGGCCATACCCCAAACTTACATATGATTATAAGACTTTATTTTATCTTGAAAGCAGTGGGAGAAACCACCAGAGTATTTAAGCAGAAAAAAATTATGGCCAAGTGTGAGTTTTAGAAACTAAAAATAAAAGGACATTGATTTGGAAGAGGAAAGGGGTAGCATTTTGAAAGCTAATGCATTGACAAAGGTAAGAAATCACGAGGGATTAAATGACATGGAGAAGAGGGGCCAGATTTGAAAGATATTTTATTAAAGTAAACATTCAAAGGACATAAACAGATTAAGTGCAAATTCAGAGAGTCGTTGAATGTACTATTTGGTGGAGCTACTCAGAATTGTTGAATGTACTATGCTCAGAAGAGTGAGATGGTTTGCTGATAGAAGACTGAGAGTGGACAGTAGACAGAAATCTAGTAGTGGAAGCCCACAAAGGAGGAGGTACCAGAGAGAGCCTTGGGAGTCATTGGGAGGAAGTAGAGGGATTAGGCTGCAGAATAAAAGGATGGGCCCAAGACATGAGAGAAGAATAGTAGTGCTTTAGGAAAGATGAGTGGCTATTATCTAATATGGTAGGGCAGCGCTGTCCAATAGAAGTAAAATATGTACTCCATAGATAAAGTTTCCAACAGCTGCTTTATGAAGAGATTTTATTAAGCCTAATAGACACAGAATCCCATCATTTCACCTGAAAATAATAAAAAATACTTGAGATTATTTTATAGTCTTTTTTCCTGCCATATCTTTGAAATCTACTGTGCATGTTACATTTATATCTACACATCATATGTTAATCCAGATGCTAAATTTTCATAAATTCTTGATTTGCATTTAGATTTCAGAAAATTTATGATTGAAAAAGTAGATTCACCTACCCAAGTTGTTCCAAAATGCTTAGAACCAAATAAAATATCAGTTTAAAAATATAATTGAAATTAAATGAAAACAAAGATTCAGCTCTTCCAGCATACCTACTGCATTGATGTGCTGAGCAGTCGCTTATGACTGGTGGTCACCATGTTGCACAGGGCAGCCAAGACCATAAAAGCAGAACATTGCAAAGCACTGTGTGGATGTAGCTCTTAAAGCAAGGGCCTTGGGGAGAGTAGTTCTGGTAAAGGGTGAAGGGCAAATCAGAGTGAAAATTGAAGAAAATGGGGAAGTGATGAAGTAGAGATGATAAGAGAGGCAGTGAGAGAGGCAGCGATAAGCTGGATCTTAGAGCTGGGATGGTAGAAACTGGGAAAGTACTCAGCATGCTTTTACTCTGAGAAGAATGTGCTAGGAGGCAGCAGTTGAGGGCCAAAGAGGTGAGGCAGTAGTTTGAGTCATTTTCCTGGACAAGCCTGTTCTGACAGATAATATGAACTGATGGAAAAGAGATAGGAATCATATTGTTAAAGTCTTAGCAGTCTGAAGCTAATTTCATGTCCCTATCATGAATCACCACATACATAATCTGATCATGTTGGCCGTAAGTACAGCAAGACAGAAACTAGTTTGTTACTGGTTTTTAAATCACTGATGCATATCTTGGGTACACTGTACTTTTCTCTTTTTTTTATTTTAGAATAATAAAAAAATTGCAAAATAACAACAACATAGACAAAACCAAAATCAAAAATAATAAAAATGAACAAGGTTTCAAAACAGAATGATAGAATTAACAGTGGTTGTTATATTATGTATATTATATATTGTTATCTTCAACAAAGTTGCTTAGATTACTGGATGTAAGAATGCAAGACTGTGGTGGCACACGCCTATAATCCCAGCACTCAGAAGGCTGAGGCAGGAGAATTGTTGTGAGTTTGAGACCGGCCTGGGCAACAAAATAAGTTCAAGGCCAGCCTGAACTGCATACCAAGACCCTGTCGCAAAAAAACAAAAAAATGAATGAAAAAAAAACATTAGAAATGATACAGAGCTTCACTAGACAAGGCAGTAGGAATTCACAAGTGGTTGTTATATTGCATATTGTTGTCTTCAAGTTAGTTGTTCAGTTTACCAGATATAAGCATGCAAAATTGGTCAAAAAAAATTTGAAGCATTAACTTTTCCTTTCAATAAACCATTAGACATGAGCAGTACAATTATCCCAGCTATCTTTCTCTCTATATATATTTTTTTCCTTCTTTCTCTCTCTTAAAGGTGATTTTTTTCTCCATAAAGCTTTAGAGTGACATAAGGCTTTAAAGATGTGTAACTTCTCATCCACTATCCTTATGAAGGTTGTATTAGTCATAATTTTAATATTTAACTTAGTCAAATATCTATTTGATACCTTCTGTGTGTTAGAATGTTCATTTTGTTTTGTTTCCTTTTTGGTTTTAGAGACAGGGTCTCACTATGTAGTTCATGCTGGTCTTGAACTCGTGGATCTTCCTACCTCAGGCTCTCAAGTGCTGGGGTTATAGATGTGCACCATCATGCTCAGCTAGAATGTTCTAGCTAGTAACAGAATCTTAGGTTAGTCTGTGTTGAGTGTGATTAAAACAATTAGAATAAAAAGCCAAGAGTCTCTTCTATAGATTATAAATTAATAATTAGATTAATAAGAGAATAAAAATTAGATTATAAAATTAGATTAATTAATAAATTTGAAAATGTTAGGCTGAGTTGTGTTTTAGCACATAGAAGAAATAAGAATTGTTCGATGCTTGATATATGTTAGCATATATTATGTTGGAAACATCTTAATAAGTTTCTTTGGAGTTTTGCTGGTAATCACAGATGTGCATCAACTAACATGGCTTCAGTGGCTATTCTTACAGTTTAGAGACTGCTTAAAGTCACAGGACTCATTCGTACCTTTTTAGAATGTTGGTTCTTGGAAAACTTAGTTTTATTGGTCAGTCTAATAAAAGGATATTTTTTGAGCATCTACTTACTGTTTCTCAGGTACTAACTATGATAGAGGTAAAGGTATAGCATTGGAACTTCTTGTAGTCAGGGTCTGTGAGGGAATAGATTTAACACAGAACATATAATTTATAGGATTATTTTATAATATTCATCCAAAAAGTCAAATGCAGAGTAGTGTAAGAGATCTGTCCACACACTTAAGATTCAAAGAATCCAGCTATGAGGGCCTGG